TCTGGTTCTGTCCTTATGCTGGCCATACCGGTACCTCTCGTCACAAAATTTGTCATATTTACTAATGCTACAACTGCCAGGTCTCTGCATTTGTTACTGGTGGTGGAGTGGCACTGGTGGTATCACTAGTGTTGTTTATTCATTTTGGTGAAAGTGGTTGTCTTGGCGATGAAGACAGAGACAAAGTGGTGGTTTGGACGGCGTGACAGTGGTGAGGATGTTATTTGTGTGGATAATAATAGTGGCGATGGTGATGATGGTAACAGTGGCTGTGTGTCACGTCCGGGGTGATCATACACCAGGTCAATCCTCATCATTAGTACAGCGGTCGTCACCCTCGTCAGCACGGTTCAAGTGACATTCACCAGCTATGTGGCGTGGTCTTGACGCAGCTGCTGTTGATTTTATCTCATTCATGGCACAGGAGAGAGAGAGAGAGCACAGGGGGAGAAGAACATTCTTACAAAAACAAAGTTGCCATATTGGTGTGCAAATTCCCATCCTGCCATAACAAAAGTCAAGGAATCTTAACTTGGAACTTTAATGACAAAGGGAGGTTAAGTATCGATCATTTTCACATGTTGTTTTCGTATACATATTCACTTAATAAATTTGCTCATCATCCATTGCCATTATTTTTAACTTTATGTCCAATTACTGTATTTGGCGCAGCTGTGCCAAATTTAAGGATGGAAGGAATACGTTCTTAAGGTAAAAGTTTTGAGAAGCGCAGAACCTACAACTTTGTCCTCATCGGTTAATCGAGAGGTAACGAAGAAAAGAGTGTAAAAATGGCATTTTTTTTAGAGTAAATTTGTATGAAAATTCAGTTTAGAGACAAGAGTTTCCCGCCAAGCCAAACCACCCAGCGTAGGCTGTGATTCCCGCCAAGAATATGTGTTATGTGTAGGCCTATGCTGTAACCAATCATAGTGATCTGTGAACGTGAAGTCATGAGCAGAGCTGAGTGAATGGCTGAAGCTGTGGCACTACCAACCACACAACCAGTGTCCCCCTTCTCACAAAGACACTGATCTTTGAAATGTAACGGCGTGAACGGCTGTCTATTGGCGGTATGGCGGAAAATCTTAAGTGTACACTTTGGTAAAATTCCTTATAAGAGGTCTACTGTGAGATTAGCTCGGAGTGTTGGTCTTGAAAGTGTTTGTCATTTTAATAACGTTTTAAATAAATAAAAATAATTTGTTAACAGCTTATCACCTCCCCCCCTCCGTCCCGAGTAGAACATCATATAAACCTTTGTTACGTAGTGATGCAGTGCGTCACATTTTTCCGAGTAATCAAGCTATTGTATATTTCTCCGATTCATTACATTATCTTATTCTCTCTCTCCTTCGCCCTATGAGCAAAAGGAGACGGGAGGGTAACCTGACCGCATAACTTTGTTTTAGCTTTAACATCATGGCCTTGGAACTATGTGGATCCTATAAGAATCTTGGGAATAACGTGAATGACAAGAACTTTATTGGCAACCTACTAGAGCGAACCAAACCTCTCCGAACCCTTCTTGGTCAAAGCTATGGAATTAGCACCACCTTCAGTATGTCCGTTCCTTCAATCCTCACTTCATTCGACCTGCACAGTAGTTAACTATCCTGCTCTGCATCTTGTTACTCTTCCTTTCAAACAACTAGACAGCCCAGAAGTAGTACAAAATGAAGCCACGCGCATCATCCAAGGATGCCGCAAACCTACCAGAAGTGTTACCACGAGGAAAGAACTCGGGCTGCCTTCATTGTCTGAGAGGATATTTATACTTAATACCATGTTCTTTGTCAAACTTTTGAAGATCAATGGTCCCACAACCACAGATCAAACTGAGTTGAGATCCTGTCTAAGTAATCAGCTCCCCAACCTTCTACAAAAGACTCTCTATGGAGCGTGGCTTCAGAGGAGTGTCACTGATTTCTTAAAGCTGAATGTGCCAAACACTCCAGACGAAGCGTTTCGTGCTATTCTTCTTTGGCTAGACGTACCAGTTCCCACTAATTACACATCTGTTAGTGATAAAACAAATGTTAAACACTAATGTTAAACTAGAAACTATTAACAGTCACCCTCAGTATTAAATTAAGTGAATATTATGATTTTACTGGTGGTTTTGTGCAGACAAACACAAGTAGATCAGGTTGTACATGTGTAATATGGAAGGAAATGAGATATCAAATATGCAAAGACTGAACAAATGGACCAGCACAACACAAATTGAGCTTATGGTAACATACCTAGCCACAGACTACCTCAGTGTCTAAAGTGGCAGGCGTGTGTTATTACAAGAAATGTGATAACTGCTAAGGAAAACAACCTTTGAATTGAATTTGTGTGGATTCCGTCCCATGGTGGAATTAGGAATCATGACCATGTTGATAGACTGGCCAATGAAGCATGCAACAAGGAAAATGTAAAGCGTGACCTTGACCTGTCCAATACTGTACTTAAAAACATTCAAGACAAAATCATGAAATCTGATATAGAAGAACTGATAAATGCACAGAGACCCAACATTTGTAAACATGACAAATTTTGTGACAAGAGGTACCGGTACGACCAGCACAAGGACAGTGGGTGCGCACCAATCATAACTAGAATTAGGCTAGGCTAGAATACAGGCACATCTGGCAAGTTAGTGATGCTGTACCCACACCAGAACACTCGGCATAAAAACTTTGTGAAGATAAATCTTTAAAGCATTCTCTTGGGCATTTTATTATGGAATGTGGTACTGTAAAAGACTTCAGGCCACTTGGCTTATTGTAGCACGAACTATGCAACTACTACATTGAATTAGGAATCTTCGAGAACATTTTTGCAGTTTATCCTAAATTTGTTAGTCCACACTGGTTAGTCCTCAAGTGTAATATAACACTAATGAATATGACCAATCCTATTATCCCCTTTTGTGTATGGCCCTCTGTCCTATGTGGCAGTGAACAGTGATAGCAGCATAGTACCCCTCATAAGCATGACCAATAGTATTATCCCCGTTTGTGTATGAACCTCTGCCCTATGTGGCAGTGAACAGTCAAGACCTGACTGGCCACCAGGTTAGGCAAATTGTACCTCAATATTACCACTAAAGTTGTTAAACTAACCAAAACTCTACGAAAGAATAAGAGAATAAGTGAGAAAAAGGTAATATAAAAGAGAAGCAATGTGATTGATTGATTATTGAAGTCAGAGAAAGGAAGACAAGTTAGTAGAACAAGAATTAAGAGTAAGAATTAAAGAGTAATAAATAATATTAACCAGAAAAAAATAGTGTGTGTAGAAAGGTGTGGTGCAGCAGGAGTGTGTGTAGGAAGGTGGGATACAGCGCGAGTGTGTGTAGGAAGGTGTGGTGCAGCGCAGGAGTTAACTACTGTACTAAGGTGTGTGTTCTGTAAGGTATATCGGCATCTTTCTAGTCTGAACATCAGTCGACTTCCGAGACTTTTTTTTTTATTATTTGTCGAATTTATTAAGTTGAAGGGCAGTGGCGACAGGTGGACAGAGTTTGTGAAGGAGGTAGACATATACCTGTAGATGGCAACAGGGATGGCAGGATAGGCTGGGAAGACCAACGTAACACTGTGTGCGGGTTAGTAGGTGGCGTGTCGTTCTGGAAGTTGACCAGAGGGGGATGGGGCAGAAAGAGTTAAATATTTGTCATGAATTCAGCCAAAATTTGCGTAATTCCGTACACAGCACAATGTGAACCAATACTCATTTACATAGGCTTGGTAAAAAAAAAAAAAACGGGTGTTGTCTTTATGAACTGAACTTTACAATTGTTCCGTGCAAATCATGATCTTTTTATAACAAAAATAATAATAATCAAGGCACCCCATTCGTTTAGGTTTTAGAGCAAAATTATATACTTTTCCTGGTTTCTTTAAAGTCAGGTACCATAATATTTTCCCACAATTTTCAACTCTCATAACTTACACTATTTCAAACACGTAGAAAACTGTTCTGCGCCATGATTTGTATAGCTATTAACAATATCAAATAGGAGGGATGAATGGCTACTCTTAGAAGTTTATTCATAACCTTTTACAAACAGCTGACCTGGCCCTGGCAAAACCTCACCTAGTTTTGGGGAGAGATAAGGTTCGCTTACCCCCCCACCCCCCGCCCCTTTCCATTGTTTTCCAAATGAAGCACACCATGGGAAAGAAATTTAAATATCCAAACGATCACTTAATAAAGCAAATTGCGTTTAAGTATGGGTTCAGATTTGCATGCATTGTCTCCAAAGACACGAACATAAATTTCAGTCATAAAATAAGAGTTGCCTGGTGAAGTAGTCCTTATCAGACCCTGATATTTACTGAGGGAAGACCGAAAGTGTCTCAACACAAGTACTGCACTAATAAATGTATATCGTCCACATGCGAGCACACTCTTACATACAGAGATTTTTACAATTTTGTCCATATATACATTTACACTCACGTACACGCAAACATACCCTTGTACACTAAAAGATACACACTACACCCTGTGGCACGCAGAAAGTACATTTGAAAAGTTCTGATAGTATTAATATCTAAAACTCCATTTATACGTAAATTCGTTGGAAAACGAGATGACGCTGTTTTTCTTTCGTCAGTTGTAGATAATGATCATCTTTATCCAGCATTGTTCGAACAAACTAAACGCCACGCCTAAAAATTCATGTTAAATGTGCTAGTCACTTTCCTAGAATTACCTCAGAGAATCCCGTTAAGCAATGACCTACATATTCCGTCATTAGCATCATTCTACGGTGTCAGGATTGGCTCTGTGACTTTCATTTTCTTCCCCTAGCTGACGCCCACCTAAAACACAAACAGGTATACCTGTTCCAGATACTGTATTTCGTCACTATATTCACCATGGTCACGGCCAGTCCGCGCGCAGGAAACTTGTGACATCATGAACATGCAACCAACCAGAACAGCCGGATGAATGACGTCACTGAGGCAGAAGAAAACGTATAAATATCAACGGCAACACTACAGTCTCGTCACTACTCAGTCTTGTCACTTTGGTGGAGTGTTGCTCGTGATAGCCAGTGCATTCTCATTGTGTTATCTATTGAATACCGTATTATAAAGCTCGAGAAGAGACTATAGAAGAAGCGTTGAAATTTACAAGTTCACAGAGAAATTATCGCTACAATTACCAGGATGAAAATTTTGTGAGTGTTTTTGTGTCCACGAGTGTTGTCAGGTTTTTGTGGCGTGTCCATAATGGTCTTCCTGCATTCGCTGTGATTTCCTGACGTATGTGTAAGGCTGGCCAGACGTCCTGCTTTTGAGCAGTCTGTCCTCCGTCCTGCGCCACCTCAAGCAGGACGTTAATTTGTCCTTCTCTTTTGGGCCTGTCTAAAAAGAATTATGTAAATTACTTTACGTATACTAAAACAGTGGCAACTGAAGGCCACATTAGTAAGTAGGCTACTTCCTTTAGTTTGTGAAGTAAGTCAATCAGGTTAGCATACAGTACAGTATGTTGTTCCAGCAGGAGAAAAATGAGTATTCATTTCTTTCAGTTCTTTATTTATACTGTATGAATGCATGTATCATGTATGTAACATATACTGTACAGTGCGTTTAAAAAAATGAAATTTTAGAAAAACCACAAAATAGCCTTCATTACATTATAGTGATATTTGACAAATCAACACTTCTAAGTATATTTTATACAACTAATTCCCATTTAAGTTTTAACACCATGAAAAGCTTCCTCAGTATGCCTTTAGTCTTAATCACAAGAGTATCTCTCTAAGTCTATAGTGTGACACACACACACACACACACACACACACACACACTTTTTTTTTTTTGCTAAAAACTCAGAGGAAAGGGGAAACACTGGAGCACCTTGGCTCTCGTCTTTATTGAAGACATCTTCAGAGGCAACTAAATGTATAGCAAATGAGAGAAGAGCTTGTATACAAAGGGTGACCTCACATTGCATCAGGTCAGAGCAACACGAGACCCACTAATTCCGTAACCCACTCCAACCGCAAATATTTCCCAAAATACTTTTAACATTAGGTCTCGACATATATATTAATGTCAAATTTTATGTTTTGTACGGACTATCACTAGGGTTTGTAAAATTTATTTCTCTAATTAGACTTGATTCAACCAGAAGTCTTTCTGTGACACATGTTGATTTATACACATTTATACTGTTGTTCATGGCATGATTATTATCCATATTGTGGACAGAAACTGCACTGTTTTCTGCTGCTGTTGTTCTAATATTATACTTGTGCTGTTGTAATGCTTTCCAGTCTCACCCACATAGTTTCCATTACAGTTCCCACATGGGCTGTTTTTTATTAACATACTTGTAATAGTCGAGTCATTCTTGAAAACAACATATATATGGAGAGAATATAATAATGCTGGCCACCATATAACAACACATTTATCTTCCAGGTTACTGACGGCTGCGGTGGTGGCAAGTGCGCTGGGCCACACACTACACCTGGGGCGTACCTGCCCTGACCTCTTACCCTTCCCTAACCTCTCTGTTGATAAGGTATATCATCTATCTATCTCCCAGTGTCAGCTACGGTAGTCTTCCAAAAAGGGGACGAGAGCAGGAAGTAGTTCACTAAGCTGTAAAATGTATAGCACGTTGTTGAGACGAACTTATCACATATGTATAATCCTGCTGTAAACAGTCTCCATGAGTCCTCTCAATCTGTGGACTCGAAAACAGTATTGGGCTTCAAAATAACCATAGATAAAACTATTAGGAACAAATAAATAGAGGAATCCTACAAAAACCACTGGCCTTCTTCCCTAGGTCTGGCCAGCTCCACTGGGTAATCTGTAAATAGCATTACTATTTTTTTTTGTTGGGCACCCCCTACATCCTGTGCAAGGTGATGCCAGAAGCACTTACAGCGCCCGACTGGGAAGCATGCTAAGTTCATGCTTGCCTTTATGTCTCATGAGTTAAGGGCGTAGAAGCCTGAAGGGTCATACGTTTTTTTCTGTCAAGGGCGTAGAAGCCTGAAAAGTCATAGGTTTTTGTCAGTAAGTTATTGGAAGCTCCAACAACTTTCCCTGAATACGAATTCGCAACCTTTCGATTTACAACAGGTACCTACATTACTGCTAGGTGAACAGTTGTTTGTCCAAACAACTTTCCATCGACCCGGAAATCGAACCCGTGACATCTAGCTAGCTAGTGACATCAACATTACAATGTTGAAAGGTCAGGAGAGTTACTATGGTTAAGTGAGGGTCCGGGTCACAAAGGTTAAATTTCCTCTTAACAATAGAGTAAGAACACAATATACTGCCTGGCTGAAGTCGAAGCATAAAAGAACGTCTAAGGAAGTAAGTTAATCGAGGTTCTTCTGTAATTAATATTATATACATGCCCTTAACATCAGGTAAAGAACGAAACACGATCTCTGTGAATGCGGTTCCGACAATTCGCACAACTGCCATTGTTGATTTCTTTTAAGATGGATAAAATACTGAATGAATCATCCCAACATATGCTTAATCATGAGCATTTGCACAAACATTAACGGACACAATATATCACGCATGGAGAAGTAAATGGGACGTGTACCTTTTACCATGTAGCATGGTATTGTGCAGTATATGGAGGGAGTGTATGTGCGCGCACGCACACAATGACTCATCACATCACAGTGCAACAACACAGTAGTCTCAGTATTAGCGAGCGGGTGGGAGTTAAGTGTCCTTGGAGGAGGGAGGGCGAGAGGAATTTTGCCGTCTCGTTTCCGCTTCACCCCCATCCAGTCCACTCCACCAACATCCCCCAGCGGTGTTCTACAATGGTCATGCCGAGCGGCACTTATCACCCAGATGTACTAGGTGTACAATGCTTTTTTTTTCTCTGTTCAATGTGTTTTATTTATTTTTATTATTATTTAGGCGTTTCTAAATGAAAATAGAAAAAAAAACTTATTCTGTACTTTGGTGATTTCACATTCATATTGGGTGATTCTTACCTCATGGAAAGAACAACTGAACCTCACTTCAATAAAATATGTAGTACCGCATAATAGATATATGTACGGTATATAGGATGGCTATGTAGTTTCCTATTTACCTTTAGAAGAACAAAAACAGCATACAATAAAACACAGAATGCACCACTGCACACTTACATTATATTCAAGTGTAAAGCTGCTACTGTAATTACTTGGAGAATTCGAGTGATCGCTTTTCTCTGTCCAAGTAATGTATTGTGAGATTAATGTACAATATTGTGTTGTCTTTATTATTATTATTATTGTTCATATGATATTTTGTTATATGTCTCTTATCTTCGCTTAGTTATCTTCTCACTATCTCCAGTCACCATCTTGTTATCTCCAGTCACCATCTTGTTATCTCCAGTCACCATCTTGTTATCTCCAGTCACCATCTTGTTATCTCCAGTCATCATCTTGTTATCTCCAGTCGCCATCTTGTTATCTCCAGTCGCCATCTTGTTATCTCCAGTCATCATCTTGTTATCTCCAGTCACCATCTTGTTATCTCCAGTCACCATCATCTTATCTCCAGTCACCATCTTGTTATCTCCAGTCACCATCTTGTTATCTCCAGTCACCATCTTGTTATCTCCAGTCACCATCTTGTTATCTCCAGTCACCATCTTGTTATCTCCAGTCATCATCTTGTTATCTCCAGCCATTATCTTGTTATCTCCAGTCATCATCTTGTTATCTCGTCATCATCTTATTAACTAACCTAGCCTATAACACCTTCCTATGATATAACCTCAGCCTATAACACCTCCCTATGACCTCTCCTTACCGCCTAGTTCTCCCCATAACGTTGTCTTATTCAGTAGCCCTCTCCCTGGTCACCCCTCTCCCTGGTCACCCCTCTCCCTGGTCACACCTCTCCCTGACCACACCTTTCCCCTGATTTGGGATCATGGAGAGGGAGAACCACGGAGAGGGGTGGCCAGGGAGAGAGTTACCTGGCCATGTAATGTAAGCATCATCATATACTGTAAGTCATTCACTAACCTTGTTGGTGTTTTGGTATGCCAGGTACTTGGGCGGTGGTACGTGATGCACAAGTTCGACACGGATAACACGTGCTTGGTGTGGAACATCACCCTCGGCCAGCTGCCAGACACCCTGCTGGTGACAGAGACCCGACAGCTGTCTTTCCTCGACGTGTTTGGTGTCGATCACACTCACACCGTCACTGCCAATATCGAAATACCCAACCTGGAAGTCCCCGCCAGGATGCGAGTTCGCTGGCCCACTTGTGAGTACTGCAGAGAGAGAGAGAGAGAGAGAGAGATCAGGTTTGATAGAGATTGTAAGAACGTCATAATTAGTCATTGCCTTTTTCTTTCAAGGTTTACTGGATATGTGTTACATTACACTTGGTAATGGTTCTAACCATCTTTAAGCTATATAACAGTCAGCATTAATACTAGTAACGCATACACGCGATGAGAATGACATCAACTTAGAACATCGTCGCCCTCCGATACGTGCACTCATTATGATATAAACCATTAGAAGGCGATCACGTAGTAAGAAATGAGAAACGTGTACAGACCTATACCTGCTAACGCCACGTCACATCACACAGTGCAAGTTACTGTCAATGGATCAGTCCTCGTAACTCTTACTTAAGCTGCAAATTGTATTTACAACAACGCAGAAGCACGCAAGGATAAAACCCGGTAATCCTGCGTTATCGTGATAGTAATGGACATGACAAATTAGCAGTGGACATAGTCAAATAACGTTGTGACACAACATTGATATGACAAACTTGGTTGGTCAACACGCCGTGAGAAATCATAATTTTATGCAATGAAAATTATATTGAACAACGAATTTTTCGTCCATATTCCATGTTCTACAGCATAGGAATTTTACTCGATAGAACTTACTTCAAACTACGAGTACATTGTCTAATGTTACTTTTGGGTAAAACTATGTTAGGTAAATAGTAAATAGAACCTACGAAAACTCTACAGGTGTTTGTGTTCGCTCCTGTAGATAGAACTTGATACCCAGAACACATAAAGGAATAACCTTCGTTTATTGTGACATTCAGATTTCTGTGAACTGCGACAAATAAGAACAAAATTAATTACTCTTGCCACGTCATATTTTAAGAACAAGAGTAATGTGAAGGTGAAGCTTGGACGGCTGGTACAGGTTTGGCCAACCACTGTTCAAAGATTGAAACCTACCTGAAATATTCAGAGGTGTATTAGTATGAAGAATTTTATCCCAATACAAACGAACGTTAAAAGTACTCAAGGTCGCACCCGTCTGATGAGAATGACGTGTTGGTTTTAATAGTTACGACTGACCGACTGCTGTAAATGCGGTAATCACTAAAAAGTTCGAAGGATGTTTTTCAGGAAAATTGTTATGGTGTCGAAATTAGATTCCGAAAATAGTAAAGAAGCTATGAAGTATGCTGTTTTCCTACTATACAGTACTGTATATAACTGCGATAACCAAGTAGATGCAGTAGATTTCGCTAGTTAGATCATGGGGCACTCGCAGTCACTTAACTTTACAAAATTTGGGAAGTGAAGGCGGTCGAGTGCGATGCTGGCCACACTGCCTCCTTGCTAATAGAAGATTTGGTAGTGCTGTAAGCACAGTATTAACCAGAGATAATTATCGCCTCACCTAGCCTAACTAAACCTGAGCTTGAGTCTTCGCTTAAACTAACCCACGAAACGTAACCAAAACTCGTCTTCCCTAGCAGCACTGACGGGCAAGGCGGATTTCATCGTGTTCGACACAGACTACGATTCCTACATGGCTGTGTTTGAGTGTGACCGGGCGGGTCTCCTTCACCGCCGCTCTGCCACCATCCTCTCCCGCACCAACACAATCGATGAGATGTTCGTCAAAAGGGTGAGTACCCCATTTTAAAGGAAGCTCTCAGCTCCTTACTCACAGGTTCACGTGTACAGTCCCCTTCACTAGTGCGTTTATAGGGGCTCGTCAGGTTTAAAGATACCTTTAATCACATTTGGATATATCTACATCATGCTAAAACATTGTAGCACTAGCAGGGGTCAGCCCTCATGACTCAGTGGACCTCAACCCTTCTCCATGCACAGAACAAGGATTTGTCTCCACTCTACTGTCCAGTCTTATCGTACACAGTGGAGCAGACTATCAATCAGCTTTTTAGCCAATAGTCATCCTTATCATGACATTTATGAATGTTAAATGTTAGTGTAAAGGTTCGTCCACGTGTGCGTACATTTTGTTGCCAATATGTAATCGACAAGACGAAATGAGGTACTACCTGGTATCGGGTTCTGCGTGCGCTAGATCGGTGTTTCCTCTTGTTGATCACGTTGGCGACAAAATGTACGCACGTGTGGACGCACCTTTAGTCTCAGTTTTCACACTTGCCGAAGGTTGAACATGGTGAACATTAGAAGTGTATCGATAAAGGGATATCAAAATTGCAAGTTCTTGCCGTCAGCATGACGGTAATCTATCAGTTTAAATGAGGTTTTGGGCGTGGCCGGGGTGGGGTGATCCCTGCCCCACCACCATGCTATTCTTTTAATTAAGCATTCCTTCTCAAGCTATGAATGCTGATATTTCCCATGTGATTCAACTCGTATCTGCTCTATTATGTGGTTTAAATTCTTTTTTTTTTGTAAACTTGAGATTTGAATAACAAAGGGTATGGCCTAACATAGGGCCTCACACTGCGGTATACTACTCACATAGGTGAGCTCCTATGCATATAACTAAAACAATGTATTGGAAATATTTTATAACATCCATTGCCACAAAATCGTGATCACTGAGGTCTGCTACACACCCTTTGTAATCTTTTTTGCGCTACAGCTCATGGGAAATTTAAAAAAAAATATCTACTTTAATTAAGTGTAAGAGTAATGTGCAAGATTAAAGGTGAGGTGTAAGTTTAATTGTGGGTGGTGGCTAAGTGTGTGCGTGTGACCATGTAAATATTAATATATCTAGTGACTCTTGGTATATTCACAGGTGCGTCGTCTGCTGGAGACTGCCGACGTGACCCACACAGCCCTCTCCACCATCAGCCACGAAACCTGCCGACATTCAGGGTAAGACCTATCACCTCGTCCCGACACTGGTCCTTATTCCTTTGACTAACCTTCCTTTGTCAAGTCAAGTTAAACTCAAAGGCGTTTTATCGCTATGCAAAGTCGAAATTAAAAACGCGAGTAGGAGTATTAGACCTGAGGCTTGAAGATGGTAGTTATGCAGATTCTGACCAGGATAAAGCTGAGGCATTGAACAGCTTCTTTTCCTCGGTGTTTACAAGAGAGGATGCAATTAACCTTCCTGCGTTTGAGAACAGACGGTTCGACACAGCACTGACCCACATTGTGTTTACAAAAGATGGTATTAGAAATAAACTGTCAAAGCTAAAGGTCCATAAGAGTCCTGGCCCTGACATGGTACATCCCAGAGTGTTAAGAGAGTTGTGCAACGGGCTTGCCGAGCCCCTGAAGATCCTGTTCTGTAAATGCCTGGATGAACAAAAGGTCTCCAATAATTGGAAAATGGTTTATGTGAGTCCTATCTTCAAGAAAGGCGATCGTCACTCCACGAACAACTATAGACCAGTGAGCCTGACCAGCATAGTATGTAAAGTACTTGAGAGTATTATCAGAGATGCCGCGATGGAACATCTACTACGAAACAACCTTGTAAAGGATTGCCAACACGGTTTTATGCTGGGGCGCTCCTGCATAACACAATTGCACAAGGTATTGGATATTTGGACCCATATTCTGGAACGGGGTGGTAATATCGACAATATATACCTAGATTTTTGTCAAGGCTTTCGACAGCGTACCCCATGAAAGGCTGAAAATCAAACTGGAAGGGTACGGAATTCGAGGAAATGCCCTAGAGGTGGATAGAAGACTTTCTACATGACCGCAAGCAGTGTGTGGTGATTAACGGCACGAAATCATCCTCTGTACCTGTCACAAGCGGGGTACCACAGGGCAGTGTATTGGGCCCGCTGTTGCTGGTTTGTTTCATAAATGACATGCCTGACGTTGTACACTCCTCCATACAAATGTTTGCGGATGACGCCAAGCTATTTCGGGAAATCAAGAACCATGCGGACTGTGAAGAGGTGCAGAAGGATCTCTGAGCTCCAAGAATGGTCGAAGAAATGGCAGCTGAGATTCAATGTCACGAAGTGTAAGAGGATGCACCTGAGGCGTACCAACGGTAAGGAGGCGTATCAGATGTCCCAAAAACTGCACTATTTGAGACAATGTAAGAAGGACCTAGGTGTGTACGTTGACAATGAGCTGAAGTTCTCGGGCCATTGCGAGAAAAAGGTAAATCAGGCAAATAAATTATTAGGTCTTATAAGAAGGTCGTTCAGATATCTGGACGGTCCGTCCCTCGTAACGATCTTCAAGAGTAAAGTGCATCCCCATCTGGAGTACCGTCACCCCGTCTGGTCCCAGAGATATGCTAGGGACTGTCAGTTGGTTGAAAATGTTCAAAGGAGGGCCACCAGACTGGTGCCTGCACTTCGGCACCTCAACTACCTTGAGAGATTGGAGCGCCTGAACTTGCCTAGCTTATACTACAGACGGGCAAGGGGCGACCTAATTGAGGTGTATAAGCATCTCAAGGGGCACTACTCAGTCGAGTGTCCTTACTTGGAGCTGGCGGACGCTCGCCTCACAAGGGGTCATAGCTCAAGATTGAAGAAGCCGCAAGTCCAGAAAACTGTGAGGGCAAACTCTTTTGGAGTGAGAGTTGTAAACTCTTGGAACAATCTGCCAGAAAGTGTTGTGACGGCACCGAGTGTGAGCTCTTTCAAAACCAGACTTGACCAACACTGGAGCAGGTTCAGGTACATTCAGGAGCCGGTGCATGCCCAGTACTTGCCAACAGTGTGTGACAGAGACGTGACCGATCGCCCAAGCGGCTAACGAGCCGATCAGTGGTGAAGAGGATAATAAAGGTTAAAAAAAAGTTTATCTAGCAGCCACTTAGCAGGGTGAAGGAAGACCATCGTATGTTCAGGTTCTCACAGTCATTCCTGATTTCTTGATCTAATCGTGTTTGAAAGGCTTGTGCTGTTCCTTCTTTAGTTCCAGCTGGCAGACTCTTCCAGAGGTCTATCACTTTTCAAGAAAAGACGTACAATACTTCGTTTTTATTGTCATTGATCATTTGGGAAGTTTGTGTAATTAAGAAAATTTATATCCATTTTCGAGGATTCTTGTTCTCCATTTTGTTCCAGATTTTCAATATTTCTGAGATCAGCCTTGTCAAATACCGTTTGAAGAGCTGCCTATCCCAAAGCCTTCAGCCTATCCTGTTCTTTCACCTACTCTTTTCCATCTTTTTATCAATGATTTACTTCACACTACTACTAATTCTATCCATTCTTACGCTAATGTTTCTTCTCTTCACTCTTCTCTCCCCCCCAACTCTCAAACTAGATCTGTTTCTAGAGCTGATATTGTTTCCTCTATCAAAGCGGATCTGTGCAGCATACCCGAATGGGGAGGTAGAAATTTGGTCAACTTCAATATTAAAGAAAACAGTATTGTTACGAACCCCCCCTTTCGCCGCTTACCCAGCCTCCACCGCTGATTAATTACCAGTGGCCCGGGTCGTATGTACACAAGCAGTAAATATATCACAAGTGTCGTCGAATTACCACAAGCTGTCCCGCCAGTCTCAGGTAATTTCCCGACGATTGGTTATATTAGTAGACTTGCTAGGGGAGTGATCACTGCATTTCATAGTGCAAAGGTCCCACTTGGCCTAAGTGTTCCTTTGGGCAAGAGGAAAAAAATATCTAAAGTGACACTTTGTCCATGCATTGATCTCACTAATTAACATAAATCATGCTAATTAGCACCCAAAAGAAGGCAGGAGTACAATTACGATGACGAGCAGTGTTGAAGGGATTTCATTTGTTAACTCGGCAGTCTGTCAATGCCAACCTCCGGATTAATTTAACCAATTTGACCATTGCCACTTGACGTCTCCAAAGTAAAATCTGTTATAGTGGGTGTATAAAATATATAAGCTTATAACCTGTTAAGATATTGATGTTCTATTTTCCCCCAGGCAACACAACTGGCATGTGGATGAGGAGTTGTTTGGACTGTTGCCGGGTGTGGACGAGGCTGAGGTGAAGCGACGGGTGTCTGACGGTGTCTTGGACTACGACATCACACAGGTGGAGATTATCGGCGAGGGTGTCACTGCTGAAGACTCCGGTTTCCGCGGCAGCCTCAAGCGGCCTCCTGCTGTGTAACTCACCTGGTGGTCAAGACTATTCAGTTGATCCAAGTCATATACTGTATAATTCTTACTTGGCTCATGCGAGATCAGTTATACAGTACTGCACTGGACCATCTTAAGTCACAGTGATATTTCAAGGTCAATACAATCAATGGGTCACTCTAAAGCCATTTGAGCGTCACCAAGGCCAAATGAATCGTCTTTGGCTCAGGAGACGAGGTGGCAACTTGGGAGATTCACAGAACTTTACCTCAACTTACTATAACTAACTCTCCTAACTCAGGAGAGAACCTATTGTATGTAACACTTATCTAATTACAAGTTAGAATACAGTAACTTTTATAATCTATAAAATGTAAATATATATAATATAATGGTATTTACACCTCAATGTAGTTGATATATCTTATTCATTGAACGTCGTGGACGAATATAGTGGGGCTTGGTATTTTTTTTCCGCCAGGCAGCAGGGTTTCAGATCTAAAAAAAGAAATCTTGCAAAGAATCTTTGGCAGTGTTGCCATTTTAGGTATTTCCTGCTAAATCTGGCGACTTTGACCTGAAGTCCAGCAGGTAATCGCCATTGATCACATACAAAAGTAGATTAAAGGAATATTATTTAAGTGATCATGAGTTTTTCTTATAGTATTATGATACATGTTAGTGAATGTTTCAGACCCACAGAATACTTAGATAATTCATTTTTATGCAAAATTTAAAATGCTTTTATCCTTAAAACAATTTCTTTGAGATATGGAAAAAAAAAATTTTTGAGGGGTGTGGGGGTACTTAGTGCCGTGCTGCCTAACTTAATCACGCCTTGGAATAAATATATCAGGCTTTTTTTTCGGAACTTAATGATATAATTTAGTTAATGATTCATGTTTCAGTACAGAGCAAACCTTAAAAAAATCAAGATACACTGGTGAGGGAAAGTGCTCTTTATCATGGTTTGAGAATAGTGGCTCCTTGGCCATCTTAGAGTCAATAGCCAAAGATATATCAACATCACAAAAGTTGTTCACCACGTACACTGCAACACTCGACACAAAGCTAATATATGGCAGTCAAGAACTTGTACTCAGATTCTGTAATAAATTGTTACGTTCAATAGATTGTATTCTTCTGCATGTGGTTTAGCATTTATTAAACAAAATGTATTTCTGGTGAATAATTTCAACAGCCAAGCACAGAGAATATGGAGCAAACTTGAAGAGATGGAGGACCCATTATTCTCCCAGTTAAAAGAAGGAACTACTAAAACACACAGCTGGTGGCCCAAGAGCCTCCATGCTGACATAGTAGAACAAGGCCCACTTTACACATATATGTGAACAAATAACACCACCATCGAACAAACATAAATTAACACCCATTACAATAATGAATACCTAGCTAGCTTAGTTTCCCTCCCCTCCACCTTCCTCCCTTGAGCGGGCGGGCGTGCGGCCACCACCCCAACATTTCAACTCGTCTCGCTAGGTGGACAGCCCACCTGCTATCTACCCCTCCCACTTTTCTTCCCGTTTCTATACTTTACTTCTCTCTCTCCTCTCCTTTCCCAGTGCAAAGTCATTTGCCACTTTACTTCGTTATCATCATCATCATTGAGATTCATTCTACCCTACGTTCCTGAACACGCAACATTTCTAACGAAGCTCCTGCACAGATACCTCCTCAAGCACGCTACTCACTGAACGTGTCTCTTGAGCAAGCCTCTCACCACACGGCATCTCCAGCACCAGACTGTCTTTCATATAATATATTTTATATAAGAAAACCACCACCTTAGAGTTTCCATCAATCCCATCCTGAGTGCTAGACCACATAACATCACAAAACCCTCCACAGTATCCATAAGAGAACAACTGGAACTAGGCATCACTCTACGCACAGTCAGACTATGTCTTTATGAAGGTAGTGTTCACCACAGGACGCCTTCTGAGAAGAAGCAACTAACAAGTTCGCCGAGCAACACTTGTAGGAAGGCCTGAGCTACTGGGGACACGCATCTTCACGAAAAAGAAAAAAAAACTTTATTCGACGTCACACGACCAAATACATTGCTGGGGAAGGAATAATACCAGGTATAATTTTCATAGTCATTGAGTATAAACGACTAAAGTAGTTTAACCTGGCTGTAATTCCAAACAAAGAGTATGTTGGATAGTTTCCTCCCATTACTTGAAGCTAATTAGTGATCGTACATAATATATATATATATATATATATATATATATATATATATATATATATATATATATATATATATATATATATATATATATATATTGTTACGCCGTCTCTTAATTTACTTAAATATCCAGGTTCTAGGCGTAACCAAACAAAAAAGTGAAGTAAATTAAAAGGGAATAAAAATAATTAAATTAAACCTTTAAGAATTTAATTGATTAAATATTAACACAATATAGAGCCTCGTAGGCTGTCACAACAAATTGATTCACCATCGAAACTTTTAAGACACAAATGATACTAAACATCGAAAGAATAAAAATAAATCATTGGATTACGTTAACACTGCATAAACATATGTAAACTAACACTGAAATTAACGAACGTGAAACAACACTGAATTACTTAAATGTAACTAAGCAAATACTGATGGACATAAATAGAGACATAAATAGGTACTCACATAGATATACCACATTGGTGGCGACAGGAACAACACAAATAAATTAAGTATAAGTAACAGGTGACGAGAGTCACTCAAAGGATGTGCACTGTATGACAAGAGGACTGAACTGCCTCTGTCTACAGGTGGAGTACTATATATATGGTCGGTTCGCGCCAAGCGACCAGCCGGTGAACATGGGTCGTTTAACGATGCAGATGGTCGTTAGAGAACAAAGAATACTTGTTACAATACTAAATAAAGAAATAAGATGGGTTTGAACAAATAATAACAGTTAAAACCTTAACAGCACAGGGTAAGGTGACTAGATAATATAATAGTAAATATAACACATCATTACTGGAATAATATGGAACAACATGGGAGCATGTTATATATATATAAAAAAATAGAAAAATACGACACGGTCGTAACAATATATATATATATATATATATATATATATATATATATATATATATATATATATATATATATATATATATATATATATATATATGTGTGTGTGTGTGTGTGTGTGTGTGCAAGTAAATCACTGTAGGTGCGCGTGATTCAGGTATATGCTGATAACCACAAGGAAAGAAGAAAACACGAAGTTCCCAAGCGCTTTCGTGTAATTCACATCTTCAGGGGTGAGTACAGACAATTAGTCCTACAGTACACTAGTCCGGGTCAACTGGACTTTCCCAATCATCTTATGGATACCCTGAGTTCTCCTTAATGCTATGAATACATACAATTAACATTAGATAACTGTACCTGGGTACAATACAACACATGGTCTAGTAACATTGAGTAGGTGAGTTATCCTTTATCAATGTTTCCCGTTTTCTGAGATTCTACAAGCGCGGTGGATTTGAATGTTATGAAGCGTAATATGAATTAAAATGGGTTTTTAGGTATGACAATGAGGTGCGCAGTACACCTGCTTTTGAGAACAGACGGTTCGACACAGCACTGACCCACATTGTGTTCACAGAAGAGGGTATTAGAAATAAACTATCCAGGCTAAAGGTCCATAAGAGTCCCGGACCTGACATGGTGCATCCTAGAGTTGTGCAACGAGCTTGCAGAGCCCCTGAAGATCCTGTTTTGTAAATGCCTGTATGAACAAATGGTCCCCAGTGAATGGAAAGTGGCTTATGCGAGTCCTATCTTCAAGAAAGGCGATCGTCACTCCACGAACAACTATAGACCGGTGAGCCTAACCAGCATAACATGTAAAGTACTCGAGAGTATTATCAGAGATGCCGCAATGGAACATCTAATACGAAACAACCTTGTAAAAGATTCCCAGCACGGCTTTATGCCGGGGCGCTCCTGCTTAACACAATTGCTCAAGGTATTGGATATTTGGTCCCATATTCTGGAACGGGGTGATAATATCGACAATATTTACCTAGATTTTGCCAAGGCTTTCGACAGTGTACCCCACGAAAAGCAAACAAACGAACGGCAATGAATTCAAAAGGTCCCATGCGGAAGAAGACTAATACACCCAAGCAGTGAGATAATAAAGACACGAAATCGTCATCTGTACCACTCACGTAAGAAACCACAGCAGTGTATTAAAACCAATGTTGCTTATTTATTTCACAATTGACATGCCTGATCACACCTCCATACAAATGTTGTCATGACGTGCCAAAATTCGGAACGAAAACCAAGCGACAAAAGAACCGCAGCACGACCCTGGGGCTCCAGGAATGGCTCTAAGAAATGGCGCCGAGATCGTCAGAAGTAAGAGATGCACCTGAAGCGAATCAATCGGTAAGGAGTATATTATGTCCCAACGGATGAAGAAACCAGACTGAGACTCAGTGTGAGAGGACCCAGATGCTGGACAAAGCTGAAGCTCTCAGCCATTGCAGAAAAAGGCACATCGAAAACAAACATATCTCATGAAGTCGTTCAGATATCTGGATCCGTCTCTAACGATCTTCAGGAGGAAGTGCTCAACATCTGGAGTACTGTCACCCCGCCCTTGGCCCAGGAGATATGCAAGTGACCCCAGCTCTGAAAATGTTCAAAGGAGGCCACCAGACTGAAAAGCCAGACCCCGGCACCTCAGCCACCCTGAGAGATTGGATGCCCAGCCTACTTATACTACAAACAGCAAGGTAAAACCAGTTGAGGTGTATATGATCTCAGGGGCACTACCAAGTTGAACGTCCTTACTTGAGCCATGGATTGTCCCAAGCGCCACAGCTCAAGATTGAAGAAGCCCAAGTCCAGAAACCTAGCAAACTTTTCGTTGTGAGGGTTGTAAAACTCTGGAACACCCAAAGAGTAGGATGGAACCGAAAAGCAGCTCTTTCAAGACAAGACTTGACCAACACTGACAGTTCAGGTACATTCAGGAGCCGCATGCCCAGTATTTCCAAAAGAAAATGAGATAGAGACGTGACCGATCTACCACAGGAAGGCTAGCCGATCTGGTGAAGAAGATAAAATGAAAAGGAAAGTAATCAGAGACGTACCACCCCACAAAAAAAACACCAAAAAAAAAAAAAACAAAAACCCCCAACAACCCATCAATAAATAGGATAAAAGTGCATGTTAGTACATCACTGTTGGGGTACAGTACTGCATCAGCCCTTGGTCTTATGTCAGGCAGCACGTTTATATAATCACATCAAATCTACTTCAACTGGCGAGGTGACATGTTCATATCACATGATGGGCAGGTTCCTTGAGGCACGGCCCAGGGACCGTTAAGGTCAGCATAAAAAGGCCGGCTCCCTCCGGCATTGTTACTCAACCCCTCACACCGACCAGACTTATTTAACAGGACGATTAAACATAGCCTCCATCCTCCTCTTAACACTCATAGCTACAGTGATAAGTTACGGTGATATACACTTGGAACTCTCTCCTAGATAATTCCTGAATAAATGGATAACAGACAATTGGGTTTCACTACTAAAACCCTATATAATATACATGTTCCGGCCTCATTAACCCAGTCGGA